TGAGCTGAGAGGACATTGTGTTAAAAGGCACAGGTAAAAAGCTGCCTGATGCATTCAGGAGGGGCTACCTGTGATTCATTGTGGAGTGGGAATAGGGAGGGAAGATAACAGGTGAGGTTGGGAAGGAAGGTGACCTAGATCATGAAGGACCTTAGCGTGAAAGATTTGAGAGTTGGGAAAGATGTAGAGTTAATAAAGTGGATAATGGATTGAATGTGGGGGGGGTGGAGAGAGAGATGGGATTACGTCTAGATAACTGATTTCTGAAATATAGATGTCATTCTTTGAGAAGGTGGATCTAGGTGGCAGAAGATTGGTCAAGGGCATGAGGGAGGGGGAGATAAGGACCTGTTGAACTCAAGGTGCCTCTGGACAAAAACTGGATATGTTCTGAATCATCAGAGAAATCTGGGCTAGAAATAAAGATTTGTGATTCATCAGCTTCCAATTAGTCTCAATGACTCCTCTGGTAATTGAAACCTTTGAAATGGCTGAAGTTAACTCAAGGAAAGTATAAAGAAAGGAATGTTGATGAAAAACCATGGGGAACTCTAACATTTAAAGAAGGGATGGGAAAGAGGCACTTAGAGGAAATCGAGTAGATTGGGTAGAGAGAGAGAAGGAAACTACAGGGTTGTTGCAGAAAGAGGGAGAGGTCTTCAGTCAGCATGGGTCTTTGCATTGCACCTTGCTGCCTTTTGCTTCCCCAGCCGCTGAAATGGCAGATGACATGAGGTAACTCACACAAGATGTGAATACAGAAGGAAGGCTGTCTCGCTCAGCAGTGCACTGACTAGCCCCATTTATTTAGCTAAATATTTTGAGATATGAAAAATATGAGCTAACTTAACCTTTTGACATTTTTTGGTAGAAAACATACCTTTCGTGTTCTGGGTGTATGGACTAGAGTAAAAGAAGTATTTTTCTTGTGTCACTACTAAGCCAAATCCTTTTTCTTTGTCTGTGAAATAGGTGTACCAATATTCCTAGAGTAGGAAAGGTTTATGAGAAATTATAAATTAAAATATATATATATTTCTGAGTTTAACATATAGTAGGTGTTTGGTGAGGATACTTATTTCTCTGTGTGTCTCACTCTCTTCTCTTATCCCTTTTTTAATAGAGAACTTGTGCCTTATAAAATTAAACTGTGATGTTTTGGAATTCACATTTTTGTATATGGCAGATTTCCATGAAGAAAAAGTGTAATTATTGATTGAAATGTGCTGTTAGAATTAGAATTAGGTTCATAACAAATAGGAGCACTGTTTGATAAACTTGCAAACAGAACAAAGCCAAAAATTGTACTTGCTATCCCCTTGTTGAATCAGCCCCTGTCTTTCAAATTAATTAGATTTTTGGATAACTATGCTAAATTTTGTCACATCCTTATTAAAATTGTTTAAGGATTTTGAAGAACATCTCAGAGGGACTTTGAAACTAATCTGAGTCAGGTTACTAGAGATTCCATTAGCAATCACAAAACCGATTAATCTTTTACTTAGTTAGTTTATTGATTATTGCTGCAATTACTGCATGTTACAGATTCTGCAAGAGGATACCAATAGAACTTAGAACTGCTGCTGGTTAGTCAATTTGAGTCCAATGTTTTGTACTTTTTATATGTATACATACCTTTATTTGTACTTTTAAATCTTGGGATACTTCAGTTTGGGAAGTGCCATGCTTAATATTGTTTCAGTATTATGAGCTTTTTGGTTTCTTGACATTACAGTCAATAGAGTGTCTTCACTAATTCTATTGAAATATAATTTTGAGCGTCACCATAACCCTTTACAGTACAGTAGATAGCTTTATTCTCATTCTGAGGAAATTAAGGTTCAGGGAAGTTAAATGACTTCTTGGAGTTAATAAGTAGCAGAATCAGAATTGAGCCTCATTTCAATGAGTAGACATTTATTGAACACCTAATATGTGCAGAGCTTGTGTGAGAGATAATAAAAATCCAGAATATGGTTATAGTGATTTAGCTAAGGAATTATGGCTACATTAATGTTAAGGAACATAATGTTCCTTTTTTGTCCAACCCACCTTGAGTATCTTGCCATACAAGGTTTAGGTTTTTGTTTGTTTCGTTTTGTTTTTGTCAGGTAGAAGTCTTGTATTTGTCATCATTACGCATTTTATCTCTGATTAAAACAAAATGGAAACAAATCCCTTTAAAGGGAGAAGTTATAAAACACCAAGGATCAGGATCTAAAAGTTTGTTTATAATTTGTTAAGTGCTTCCTGTTTTCTCATGTGAGTCACAATAATGCTGTGGTAGATTCCATCTTCATTTCAGAAATAAGCACCTGGGAGAAACTGTTTCCTCGCTAAGGACATGTTCTAGCAACCGCCAGTGTTGAGTCCTGGGCTGGAGTTCTCTGACTCCTAAGCACCTTGCTCATCTCACTGTGCAAGGCAGACCTTTGGCCCAGTGGCACTGCTCTGTCCCAGGGGGCACTACCCATGGCCCTGCATTTTATCCTTGTCCCTGAGGGGATGCTCTGTAAACAGTGGCCGGAGGGCCTAGACCTACTGCTCCCTTCGGCTGCTTCTCAGAGGTCACTTGCTTAGAGTGGGGCTATACATGGGTTTAATTACTGTCCTTTTTAGCTTGTCTTTGATGGTGAATTACTTTGCTTTATGGAACAATAGATTCTCTGTTAATAAAAATACAGATCACATCCAGTATTTTAGCAGAAGGAAACATTCCTTAGATTTGGTAGAACTGTAGAAAACAAAAAACACCCTAATTACTTGCTTTAGAGAAACTGATAAACTGGCAAGTGGCATATTTAGTATCAATACTGTGACTGTGTTAGTCATAGTAGAAAGAGCTGTTTATAGATTCCTAAAAAATACTCACAATCATTATTTGTATATATTGCTTGCCACTTGATTTGGCATGGACCTGAAGTGAAACCAGTTTTATTTATTTTGTGAGGTAAATAAATAAAGTTAGAAAACAGGTCAATTTCATGCATGCAAGGTTTTATAGTAGAAAAAAATGCATTGCACCTGTTCTGACCCTTTACATTTGAGGTTATTTGTTTTCAAACTTGACCCCAAGCACCATTTCAGACAACTGTATAATTAATTTGTTAGATAAAGCATAAGGATATTTTATTTGTTTTGATTTCTAGCACTAGGGTGGAGTAGTAGCTGGAATTACTAACCTATTGTATGTAGCAGTTAATTAAAGAAAAGCATTAACTATAGGAGAACACCACCACTCCTGTTGTCTTGTATCAGTATAAAAAGGCAGTAATTTTTTTGACAGCCACTGATTGGAAAGTTGCTTGCAGCCTTCCAGAAGCAAGGGGGTACATGCTGTGGATCAATAACCGGCAAATTTTCCATTAAAAAGAATACCTGAGCAATGTTCCAAATAGCCACTGGCATCTTAATTTTCCATGGAAACCTCAAATACTTGTGTGCCGAGGACAAGTCATTTTCGGACAATTTTTCCAGACTACTTGTTAACAGTTATTGCTGTCCCAAAAGGTTGACAGCCTACATGATTGATATTTCATTTACTTGTCATCACTGTTTGAGTAATGGCGAGTGCTGTATTTCTGTGGTTTTAAGGAGTATAGTCTTCTGAAAGACATTTGCCTTAGTCTGTATTCCAAAGACTGTGTCACATGTGGTTATGCTGCTATTTATATGTGTGTGTAATATATATATATAACACACTATACATACCCCCCCCACACACATTTTTATATCCAAAGAAAGAAAGAGTTGGTTTTCTTTACAGTATGAAAGTCCTTGGAGAACAGAGTATACTTCCATTAATTCATAAGTATCAAAAATCCACTTTCACTTTGTTTTGAGGTCAGAGCACTTTAGATTTGTTAACTAGTGATTCCCAAGGTGAAGTAACATTTTATTTTGGAACAAAATCAATTATAATAACTTTTATGTACATAAATGGAATAGAAAGACATATATGTGTAACTTGTAAAAAGAAATTAATGATTATCAAGGAGGGATTTCCTGGAAATTAAATAATAGGTGTTTTTAATACACAAATATCAAGTGCTGCTCTTTGATAGGCCTTCAAACAAAATCAGCATTTTTTTTCACTGATACTTTCCTATCAAGACCATCATTTCTTTGTTGGTCATGTATTCAAAGAAGCAAAGGCATAGAAACCATGTATGAAGTTAGATGGACAGATGCTTACCGATTAGCATGTAAGGGAAATGGGAATCACATGAAAATATAACCCACTGAATGAATTTATGAAAGAAAATGAAAATTTTTTCACTCAGAAGTTTATTTTTGTGCACAGAATATTAAAGTGAAATTTATTCTACTTACGAAAGTTTTTTTTTTTTTAAGACTTAAATATCATAGGCATGCTTCCTTGAAATTGAGCTACTTTTTAATACTGTCGTCTTTGGGTAGATCATATTTTGTTTGCTCATTTTACATTGTATAGAATTTCAATTTCTAATCTGTGTATTTTATACTCAAATATAACTAATATTTGACTAATTGGCAGATAGGTCTAGGCCATATGTGAAGTGCCTTCATTTTGCTTTGCAGATTCAAGGAAAAAGCACAAGAAACAATTTGAGAAATGTTTGCTAAAATGCTTTTTGTAAACCATTGTTACCTCAGTTAAAAACAAAGAAAAACCTGGAGACTGGAGAAAGTAATAAAAAGAAATTAATTAAATAAGTGCTTTTTGTTGTTATTTTTAATACCTTTCATTTTGAAAACATTTCTAGAGATTAAATACTAACCTAAAGTCTTAACCAACATTTTAAAAGATAAATGACTATGTGGAAGAAACTCAGTATTGGACTTTAAATTCCAAATATTCAGTCTAGTCATTTTTGATGTGCAAATAGGGAAAAAATATTCTCAAGGCTGATATGTCTGTACCAGCAATTTACAAAAGTACCATGAATTAAACAACCCATAAGTGTCTGCTCTAGTATTCATATATTACTGAGTAATCTCTTTCTATGATCTCTTTGCAGTATTATTCCACAGTAATGGAACAGCAAGTAAATGGACAGTTAATAGAGCCTCTGCAGATATTTCCAAGAGGTAATGTTGAACAAATTCTAATCAACAATGATTATTTCAGTAAGCTGTTTCATCAACAGTTATGTTTTCCAAAGGTTTAAATGCACATAACATGATGTTTAGCTCTTAATTTGAAAAAACAAAAGAAGTATTCATTATCGTGGGGATTGCAGGCTCTATTACAGTTATGGCAGATAAAATATCTCATTTACTAGAGTAAATTAAACTAACTAGATTGTGTTTTTTGTTGTTGTTGTTGTTTTTGAAGTACATACTTACATTCGCTTAAAGAACTCTTTGGGGGTCCACATGGATTCTAAACGAAGGCAAATGAATGACTTTAATTTTGGGTATTTATAAACTTTGGCTCCTGATGGTAGTAGCCCATGCCATTATAGGGGAGAAAACTTTCAACTAAAACAGAACCTAAGGTTTACTGAGAGGTTTTGAGAGAGATATTTGGATAGAATGTTTGGTGGTTCCTTTTTTGGGAAAACATTTTCTATGTAGTAAAGTCCTAATAAATGGAAATTTGATGGTAAGATCTTAAAAAAATATAAGTTGATAAGAGTGAGGCTTAGTGAGTTACCTGGTCAAATAATTTTTCTTCCTCTTGTAGGTTTGACAGTATTAGTCTTGTATCAAATGCGATTGTTCAACTTTATATAAACGTGCCTTCAAAATTTGCATAATGGGACTCCCCACTGGGTCCCCTCTCTGTTCAGAGCTTTCCTGTCCTTCCTCTTAACTGTCAATAAATCTCTTGTCTTTCTGTAAAAAAAAAAAGTTTTTTTGAATAGTGGTGGAAAAGTACAATTTAATTATATACATTAAATCTTTCGTACATTTCACATTTCCTTGTTTGGGATCTAGATTTTCTAACTGATAGAACAGGTAAGGAAGTTCTGTAAGTCACTCTCTTTTACTTAACTGAAATGATTAAAAGTTAGATTTACCTTTTTAACTGATACTGTACAAATAATCATAGTTTTAGTTTCCCAATTAAACATTCTAAACTTTCATTAACTGTAACTCTGTGAAGTTTGAATGGCTCAATTAGCCAATAAATTCTCATTTGCCCTGATAAAAGTCTCCAAAGGCAGCTGGCTTGACCAACCCAGAAGAAGATCTGCGTTCAAGAGTAATGCTGTTCTTTTAGCACTAATGTGATGGTGGGGTTCAGAGTACTTGGTAGGCTGTTAATAATTGTCTACTAAAGAGCTAAGTAAGTAAAATTAGATTATTGTTAGTTTGACTGAAACAAGGGTTATGATCCAATTCTGTTGCACTTGAAAATTAAAACAAAAATGAAAAGAAATGTTGCCATTTCTGTGTGTTAGGCCAATAACAATGCTGTACCTTGTTTCTTAGTGTTTTCAGTGATTGGAGAATTGGGGCAAGTTTCAAAATTATTTCTCCACAAGAGATAATTTTTACCAGTTGAAAATGTTCATTAACTGATTTTTCTTACTTGATGACATTATGGCTGTGTTGTTAGAGGAATCCCTAGTACAGTTCCTGAGGGAATTGTAATTCCATTTCTTTTGGGGGAGGGATTCTCAATAGAATTATTTTCTTCTCTTCATCCATAACACTTTCTAATTCTATTCCTATTCTCTTATTCTGTGAGCCATTCCTATCATTCTTCCTTCCCATTCTATTGTACTCCCTCTCCTGCATGGTAACAACAATTTTGACACATGTGCTCTGTCCAGGCACTGATTCTGTTCTAATTTTAATGTATTAAGTGTTATTGTTTCCATTGTATAGATGAGAATATGAGGTTCAGTGAAGTTATGTAACTTCAGAGTTTCACAGCTTTTAAGTAGTTAATATCTTGTGAGAATTTTGTTTAAATTGTAATTTGCTTAAAATTGAAGGCATGTAAGTTAAAATGTTAGCAGAGAGTAGTACATGGGGATAGTTTGGAGAGTTTGATAGAAGTGTGGATTGTGGGGAGAAGATACGTAAAAGAAGATATGTGAGATACCATTATGTCCTAGCAAGAACACAGTGCACTCCAATAAATTATTAAATATTGTTCTTCCAAGTCAAATTTAAATTCTTCAAAAGATGAGATTCAATCTTCTATCTCTATGATGTTTTTGCATGCTGTTGTACAATTATTTTAGTTTTTTGTAGTCTGTTTGATCATTGAACTATATTTTATGTAGATAAATGAGACTATGCAAGTTTATACAACTTGGCTATAGATCTATTGGGCATATTGCATGGGTCTCCCTACTTGGTTAGAGACTCCCAAACCCTAGGATCTGTTGTTAAGGTTTATGTTTATGAAGAATCTCTAGTTTGTAAAGTGAGGACAGGAGAAAATGATTCTATTCTATTCTTAGAATCTCAGTACAATTCTCAGTACAATTGCCATGAATAGCAACTCCTAGCTCATGACCAAATCCTCTCAATAGTTAAAAGATATGTTGAATATTAATAAATATGAAAATTTATTAACATTGTAGCATAAGATTCCATCATATTTGGAAAATATGAGGTACTGGGTGGTTTGAATACTGTTAAATTTTCCAATCATAAAGGTTTGAGAAACTAATTGAGGAATAGGTAGATATAGTAGGAGAAGAGCTCATACCTGTCTCTAATTCCTTAGTCAGCCATTTTCTTCTTAAGTGAAGTTTGTAAGAGCAGTGGGTATTTCAGTGGAAGTACTCAAAAATGTTGTTTTAGGAAGTATTGTTCACTCAAGGACCAAGGTCAAATATATATGACAGCTGTTTTGTTCAAAAAGTTAATTTCCATTTCAAGGAAAGAAAATTTAGAATCTTAATTCAAATGTACTTTAGAAAAACAAATAAAAATATTTGATTAAGGTTAGCTATATTTGCTAGGAAAATCATAATAAATATGAATGTATTTGAAATATGTATCATTAAATCAGCTGATGTACTTTGTCATTATTACCCACTTCTTATTATTAAACACCTCTACATCCTGTTGTCAGAAACAGGCAAAATACATGTACTACTGAGAGAGGAAGAAAAAGAAAAAATCAAATTCGGCCTTCCCCAAACAATCAATCAAAATTGACGGCCCCTTAACATACAATATGTAGGGCACTGTAGTTTTCAGATGGAAGCAGCCTTTAACATGGGCAGGAAGCTTTTGTATTTTTAACACTTGATGAAAAAACATTTGCTGAATTGGAAATATACTAACCTGTAACTCAAGTTGGGAAACTAATGCTATTTTTCTTGGCACTGTTTTGTCTTTACACTTAAATATCAGCAAATGTCAAGATTTATGGGAAATATAATAAAATTAGTAATATCTCTACATTTAATAAATGTGACTGCTAATGCTGTGCAAACTAGTATTCAAACTTGGAATCTCTAAACATCTTTTTGGCATTAAAAGCCCTTTCTTCCACCTCCCCACCCTCAAACCCTAACTATTTTCAAAGTAGTTTTAAGTGGTAACAGTACACGATATAATAGAGTAAGGAAAGATTGTAGAAATTTGATATATGAAAGATCTCTAATCATTTTAGTTCAGTTAACTTGATTTTTATATGTTTTAAGAAGAAATTGGAATTTATATGAGGTGGTGTCAGAAAGCTCTTTGCATTTATAAATGCTCAGTCCTGCAAGTTAAAAACCCTGGTTCATAATTCCCACTTTGGGTCTTGGGAGCCACTTTTCAATCATTTCTCTCTGCTAATTTTGGTGTCACCCTCATTTCTTTTTAAACGATTCATTTTGAGCAAATTTGTAAATGGCCCTGATGTGTTCTACAATTTAGTCAATTACTGTTTCAGCCTGCAAGCCTCCTGGGGAACGGAACATACATGGCCTGAAGGTACGAATTTCAATAATTGTTTCAGTAAAGTTAGATGGATTTGTAATGCTGTGTTCCACTTATTGAAATGTCAAATAAAACTGCACTTTCTCAAGCTCTGACAAGCGATCCTTTTTTTTTTTTTTTGTAATGGGAGGTGGAGGGGGATTCATCTATAATATTTGCTCAGTGTGAATATATATACATGGGTTTTGGTGCCACATTTTCTGTTATTTGGAGTTGTTTTGTAGGTTGCATTTCTTAGAATGACCGTGGGTATTGGGCTCCTCAAAGATTTATGTGAGTGAAAAAACAGACTTCATTTCAGTGATTAATTAAGCACATAAGCATATTGCACACAGAATACCCCCCTCTTCTTTTGACATATTTATGCTGGAAACATATATCTATTTAATGTCTTTTCATTGTTCTGCATCTTTTGAATTCTATGTTTCTGCTTAAGGCAGAAAATTTAAAAGAAATGCTGGCTATTGTATTATAAACAAGCTTTTTATAATTAATTACTTAGGCCTCATTTTTCAGTGAATAAGAAACATTCTACAGTGTTCTGTTTGGTTGTAGAGCTGGAAGCATATGACAACTTGAGGTCCCTACTGATCCCTGGATATGTATTTTTTTTTTTAACATTTTGTTTTTGTATATGAAACAAGACAGAAGAGTGAACTGAATATTTCCTTCTAGAGTTGAATTCATTTGTAGACAGTGAATTGAAATTTCTTGTTTTGCTTTCTTTTTTCCTAGCACTATTTAAGTATTTAAATATTTAAGTATTTAAGTATCTTAATACTTAAATACTTTAAATACTTACATAAACAGAGTATTATGTAATATACTGGTTGTACAATTCTATAACCTATATACTGAATAGACACCAACCATGGGTCTGTCTAGCAACAAGCTAATTAACCTTCATAGGAAAATGAGAAATTTGTGGCAAATTATAGGTTAATTAGAAATGTGTCCTCAGAATATAAACTGATCAAGATTCTTTCTTGTAGGTGAATACTCGGGCTGGACCCTCTCAACACAGCAGCCCAGTAGTGTCGGATTCTCTTCCCAGCAATAGGTGAGAGCAAGCAAGTGAAGTGTACAAGATTATGATTATCTACAAAGTTGGGAGTGGGGCAAGGAAGAGGACTGTGTGATGACATCTTTTTGCTATATGATCAAAAAAGTATGTAGGTAGCTAAGAAGACTTTTGACCAGTTTGCTATTCCTAACTACCTACTGACTAAGAGAAAGGACCTCATGAGATGAAATTAGACTATTAATTTTGGTCCAGGAAGTGACTTTCCTTCAATTCCAAATGATGCAGACAGTTGAATGACTATTTTTATATCTTGATTAATCTGGTCTATAAGTTGTATAATGCTATTTTTTGTTGTTGTTGTTGCTACTTGTCCCTTTATGGCAGTGTTATTATCTACTGACATCATCAGAAAGAGGCAAAGAAAAACTGAAGTGATAAAATTTAAACTGATGAACCATTTTTGCTCAATTTTGCATCATAATACAGAAGAGTGAAGCTATGATAGAAGGAAGGTAGCTTTTATTAGTCTGTGCTAATACTGGTCTACCCTGTGCTGGATATTAAAGACGTGAATCTATTTAAAGTGTTCTGTTGAGTCTGAGAACTTCCTTCCAGATTACTGTGATTCCCAAGTAGAAGGAAGGACCTACTCAAACTGATAGGAGTTTGGTTATACAGTTAGTGTAACATCACTCAGCCAAAAAACATTATATATTGAACTTTATGATGACCCTGTGAAAGCAAATGATCTGTGTAGATACTCATGTTGGTGGCTGAGAGACAACAACACTCTTTCATTCTGTGTCCAGCTGTTGTTGTTGTCTTAGTTTGGAACTGTAAATTGTTTTAGTTTGGGACTGTGATTTGGGGTTCTGTGTTGCCTTTCATACTTCTCTCTCCCCACTTAACCCAGAGTCTTGGTTTTTTTAACCAAGCGACTTAACTGGAGGTAATTTAAAGTCTCCTCCTCTGATTCTCTTTACTCTCCTGACCCTTCCCCACACCTCACTTCCTGGACTGCTTTATTGCAGTGTCAGTAATGTGTATCCACCAGCTTTTCTGCTGTGCATCTGCCACTCAGTTTATAGTTCCTTCTTATACAATATACTCTATCTTAAAATATGGTAGCCAGGTTTTTTGCAATTGGATAGTAGTTTTGTAGTCACAGGGATAGGTCTTTTAGTTCTCATCCAAGGGTGACTCTGCCAGGAGGTACTTGTGGTTTCTCTCTTCTTACACACATTCTTGTGTGTGTGTGTGAGCCATGGTCCAGCAGAGTGCAAGCATGAAGACTGAAGGTCACTGTACTCAGTACAAAGAAGGCAGGGTATTTAATTATTATGACTATTTCCAGAAAAGATTTTCAAACAGTTTGAAAACAAGTTTGAGGAAAAACAAGGGCTTTTCACTGGTGCTCTAGTTAAAATTTCATCAGTTTTAAAAGTAGGATAGAGTTGAAAAGGATGGTAAGACAGAGAAGAAGCAGGATAACTTTTCAGTTCTTTCAGATTTGGATTCACACATAACACCATGTTTTTTGTTTTTGTTTTTTGTTTTTAAATTATGTATATTCACAGAATATTAGGACATTTGAAGATGGACAGAAATTCAGAGGTTGTCTGATCTAGTGATCTTCAGCTTTTATAGATCTACCTTAGGGATGTGACAGCCTCCCAAGTAGTGATAACAGTTTGCTCCAGTAATGATTTGTCATGGGCAAAATACAATTTGATAAAGTTCTATAGATGATTTTATTTTAATTTTTTAAAGATTTGTTTTATTTATTTATACATACAAGAACTAGGGTGTAGGATAGAGGTGCGAGTGGCGGGATGTGTTAGAGGATTCAGAGAGTCAGATTGGGGAGCAGAACAGGCATATCAACTGAGATCCACTGTTGAGGGGAGCAGCAGGCAAGACATGTGGGTCAGCTCTCTGGTGGTGATTAAACTAGTGCTGCAGTGGCTGTGGATAGCTTCATAGTGCTGAGACGTAAGCCCTTACACCACTAGGGAGGCCCCTACAGGTGATTTTAATATGCCATCCTAGGTTGGCCATGTTCTAAGATGATAGCTAATCGAAAGTATTCATTGAGTCCTTCTGTTCATTAGGTTGATCTCCTACACACTGGGAACATAATCTTATCCTTGGTGCTTGCTGTCTAATAGGCATACAGACAAAAGCCCTATAAACAAACATACAAAAAATTATACTCTACAGTTAGTGTTATGAAGGAAACAGGTTTTGAAGAGAGAAAACGTTCAGATATACTTTTAGATTTTCACAGGGTGCTTAAAGAAGAGTAACATTCCACCTATACCTGAAGTATGAGAAGGATCTAGGCATGTCACAAGCCAGAGAGGTCATTTCTGATAGAGGGAAGAGCGTAAGTAAATGCCTGGGGGTGGAAAAGAAGCTTAGTATGAGTATGTTTGTAGATGGGCCAGTTTGGCAGGAGCACAAGGAAGGTGCTGGGTTGAGGGTCAGGATGGAGAGTGAGGAGGAGAGTATTAGAAGTGATAGCAGAATAGGAGACAGACCCCAGGCCTATGGGTTGATTTTTTCCTCAGTGTTTCTTCAAGTCCTTTGACCAGCAGGAGAGTGCCATGTTGCTGCCTCTTTCTTGCTTCCCTCGTTTACTTCCCTCCTTCACCTTCATTTTGGTTGACCTTCGTTATCTTGAGGAACAAAATTGTTCTCTTCTTCTGAAACAAAGCTCTTCTCTTCTTCTGAAAAGCTCTCTGATGATTATCCACGTTCCAATTTCACCAGATACCCATTTATGAATTTCCTTAATTCCTCTGTGCTCGCTCTTATATAGCTGTTAGCACATTGTGTTATAATCACCTCTGCCCCCCAATAGATTCTCTGCTCTTTAAGTGCAGTGACTAGAGTATATTCATTATTGTATTCCCAATTCCCAGCATGATGCTTGGCACATAAGAGATAGTCAATAATGTTTGAATGAATGAACTTAAATCTATGTAAGTCCTGTCTTGAGGTCATATTCTCTCAAATCAACCAGCTTTTTGATACTACATTATTTCTAGTCCCCTTACCCTTGTGCTCTTCTCTGGATACCTCAATGTCCCTCTTAAAGTGCTATATACCCAGGTCACAATAAAATTGCCATAAAATAAAGTCGCATTTTAGTTTTAGAACGTTTTAAAAAAGTGAATTTTGGATGGCTCAAAATCACTGTGAACATACAGATAAATAAAATATTGAGTAAACTGAGGCACAAAATAATTGCCAGGTTACAGAATCTTTTTTACCAGACCAAGTTGGTAGTCAGCTATTTGCATAGTGAATGAAATCACCTTTTCCTCTGTTACTCTCTAAGTATGAATTGGTTTTTACCTTAGGTTAATGACTTTATTAAGCTGAATTTACTAATACGGTGTTTCTAAGCCATAATTAATGAAGTCAAATCTCACTGCCAAACCAAGGCCTCTCCTAAATGTCTTGGCTTTCTCCTTCTGTAAAATTAGGATGATTAATAAACTTTCCTTTTATCTTCCTCTGGTGTTAGGAACGACAGCATGTTTCTTGGATAAAAGATGTTTTGTAAATGCAGTGAATCAAATATTACTTCAACTTGCTATCTGTGGCAAAACATTGGGCATTTTTTGGTTATTTTTATTATTAAATAATTGCAACAATTAAATTGGAAATCATCTATGAGAATAAGATTATTTATTTCTTGGGGGGAAAGGGGAAGGGAGCATCTGTGTGTATATTTATGCGTGAGTGTGTAAGAGATGCATATGTACTCTAAGCAAGGTCCATACCTTAGTTTCCTTTATAAGTTAAGGATAATATCATTACCCCACAGGATTATCCTACTGCGAGGATTAAATCAGGCTAATAAATAATAGTGCCTCTTAGTGCTTGGCCATTTACTTAATAAGGTAGTTATGATTATTTTTTTTAGGTGGGCCAATTTTAGGCAGTTGATTTGAGGATTTATGTTTCATCTTTAGTCCTAGTCTTTAAAATACCTTACTGCCTTAGTGCATGGGTTCTTATGCTGGGAAGACATTGTTAAAGTCTAGACTCCTTGATTTAAGAGCACATTTTATAAAAGTAAGAGCTGAAGCTCCATAGTTTTTAATTTGATCATAGCAGGTTTAAGAAGTATTTAGAAAGAAGAATAAGTAAACTTGAAGCCTGAGATTCTTTTAATATGACTTATTAAATGTACCAAATGAGTGTGTTTTTGCTACCACCATGTAAAAATAACCAGAACCATGACCACCATTTATTGAACACTGAGCACATGCCAAGTCACTGGGGTAGGGTAAAGGTTGGGCAGGGCATGAGATTAATAAAATATGTATAAGATGTGGTAATTGTTCTCAGGAGCTCTCAGGACCTGGGGGAGGATGGGAAGAAAGACATCTATACACGTAACTAACACAATGGAGGAGAGTTGACTTGTTAAGTGTGTAGAGTAAAGACTAGAGTTAACAAGTTTTAAATTAGAGGAGTTGGCCCCTCAGCTGTGAACTTGTCAATCTGCCTGTTCTGCCCCCCCCCCTGTCTCTGGTGAATCTTCTCACTGCCCTTGCACCTCTGGCATGTACCCCAGTTCTGTATGCATACATAAATCTTAAAAAAAAAATTAGAGGAGCTGGTATTCTTTTTCCCATGCTACCAAATGGGTGGATATATATATATATTACTATTTTTAAAAGATTTTATTTATGTATGCATACAGAAATAGGTGCAGGCCAGAGGTGCAGGGGCAGTGAGAGAATTCGCCAGAAACAGAGTAGGAAGCAGAGCAGGTGGATCAATAAAGTACACTGCTGATGGTAGCAGTGTGCGGGTCAGGAGAGGTCTGCCATACCATGTGGGTCACCTCCCGGGCAGGGATCGAACTCTCACTGAAGCAGCTACAGCTTGGCTTAGCTTCGCCTCATGGTGCAGTGCTCCAACCTGCTGTGCCATCAGTGAAGGCTAAGTATAGATATAACTTAATTATAAAGCTGGGATTGTAGAACCTACCTTGACCAATTTCCTTGGACTTATCTACAGAAATATTTACATGGTTAGAGAAAAGCATTTTCATATTTTTTAAATAACTCTAGAAACTGGGTCTCAAATAGGAAAAAAAAGGAAAATCAAGGCAGTTCAAATTAACTCCTACTGTGTGCAAGACATATAGTGCTTTTTGTCATATTTTGTTTTATTGGTTTCTCTGTAAAGCTGCAGTTGATAGTTTCCTTATTTTATAGAAAGTAAATTGAAGTTCTAAAAGAATGAGAAACAAGTACCAGGATTTATTTCCGCTATGCATTTGCTTTCTGGGCAGCTGAATTGTAAGTCTTAACAATAATGAATGATCACCTCTTAAACCTATCTCTTTTGCCTTTGGAATTCTGTAATCTTCTTTTGCTACATAAACTAGCCACTGAAAGACTACCCAGCAGAATTAAGCCAAAAAGAGGTCCCTGAAGTAGGCCTTATAAGAATCTAGCTTCATTTTGATTATGCTTTCAATTATTACTGAGGTTTTAGTCTCTAATCCTTCACCATTTGGCCAGTTGTTTTTGGAAGACTATAAGGAGTACAGATCATACTTACATCTAACAGGTTTTTCTTTTTTTAATCTGAAATTTGCAATGGTGTTCATAAGTGTGCATGACCTTACTTCTAAAACTTACGTTTTCTTCTTTTAGCTTAAAGAAGTCATCTGCTGAACTGAAAAAAATATTAGCCAATGGCCAGGTAGGTGTCATGGCATATTAAGATTTTCACATAGTTACCTGTTACTTTTCCGTTTTTCTATCTATAGCTTAATGAGAATCAATGAATTTCCTCCCGTCATAAATGAATCACATGACTTCACTTGATTGGCAGAACAATTTGGAGCACGTTTTTCAAACCTTGCTAATGGGTTTCACTCCCAGCAGATTGAAGCGCCATGCACACACCCTGCTGCCATCTCAGTTTAAAAAGAGTTAATCAGTTCTGAACAGGTGTGTCAACTCGTGGGTTGTTGAAATGGCCTCACATCCTGAGGTGCCCGTTTCTTTCATTATCTATGGGGAGAAAAGGAAAAACTGTTACTTTCTTAGCTTAGTTCCTTCTTTTGTCCTGAAACCAATGCTGACTTTTTAGGGGACCAGAATCCTAGCAAACCTCTGGCATTTGAAACTCCTGAGCTTTAGCAGCTTTAGCCCTTGGTTTGCTTAGTCGACTGGTCATCTCAAGCTGAATGACCTAACCCAGGCACTGAGGTTACAAACAAGCCTGCAGGCCAGTTATTTTTCACTAATTTTGATTCAAGTAAATGGCCACGTCTGAAATAGTATAGTGCTTTTAAACATACACTGGTAAATTAAGCTACCTACAGGGTCCTCGATTCTTCAATAGCAACATAAATGTGTTTTAATGTTTGTTATAGTGGAAGGCCTTTGATAGCCTTGGAGGCAGGCGCCTGTCCATTGCGATCAAGCTTGCCTATTAGGCTCTATTGACTGAGACATCTGTGTCACTGCAAATAAAAGACTCTTATTGATTTTCTTAACTGCTGTTCACTTCCCGTCCATGTTTCGAAGGCTGAAATCTTAATTATCTCAGATGCTTATTCAGTGCCTTCACACGCTGACCTCTCCAAGCTTCATTGGCATTTCATGAATCAAGTACTTGGAGTGGAGCATGTCAAGAAGACAAAGCTGGGGCTTCATGCTTGTTCTTTAATATCACCTGTAACTTTGTGGTCTAATAGATGTGCATGCTTTAAAATGGAAGTGCTTCTGGAGCCTTGGCTTATTTAGCACACAATCCCTTGAATACAGTTAGAAAAAGTAAGCTTATCTGGTTCTGACATCTGATTGTTTTCAGAGTGTGTGAATTCTAGTCCAGAAATATTCTATATACAGTGTAAGGAGAATCTGGTGCTGCATGTATGTTCTCAAAATTTTAAATCACGTTTATCTAATACTTTAACTTAGAGCAGCCGAAGGTTTGTTTGCGACTGTGGACCGTGTGTATGTACCCCCAGTAGTCTGCATTCAGAACTTGTGTGAAGCGCCTGACTAAAAGCAGAAATATTGAGGCCGGGATATTTATGTATCTTTGCCATGCTTGCATTCTAGTTACTAATTGTAATTTATGTATGAGTCACTTGTGTTCTTCAGCTGGAAAATATATTTCAAAATTGACATAAATTAAGAAGCTTTAACTACATTTGTTCAACCCAGGCAATGGAAAATAACCTGTCATTGCTTCCTCTTTACAAAGTGAAAAACAGTTTATTTTCACTGCAAAAAAATAAAACATTTTGAAATGTTTCTAGTGTTTTGATAACAAACCTAGTATCATAAATATCTTAGTGGTCTCAGTTACGCCGTTCTCCATGGTAGAAGACTGCCACAACAAACATTTTTGACACTTAGAGATTGTTTATTACTTTCCCTTGGGAATGCAGTAACCCCACATTAAACAGTATGGCATTTTCTTTCTTTTATGGATTAGCCTTTGTTGTATTTACTTTTATTCACAAAGCAAACAAAACAAAACATCCTACCTTTGGCAGTCTTTAGAATACCACCTTCTGCTAATTCCTCCATTCCTCAGTGCTGTAGGGTAACTGAAGCGGGAGCAAGATTGCATTGTGGTGAGGTACTGTGTACAGTTGTGGGGTCAATAAATTTCTGGGCTGAGCACTGACACCACTTGATATGGAAGATGTAAGTCACATTTAACGATACTTTAACACTTGAGCATAGTTTTTTGTTTTAATGGTTTATATGCTCTCAAGCATTAATAATGATTTGCCTTCCCACTAGCCTCCACTTAGATTTAATAAGGAATTCATATTAATCATTAAAAGAAAGGGACATGATTCTTCAAGATAATCAAATATTGACAGGTTAGAAATAGCTTTCTGCCTGGGTTCATTGATATAGGTTATGTGATATAAATATTTATTTCTTTTCTGTCACTCAGAGTAAATGCCACCAATTGATTCAGCATTGATATAGTGTCAACAGTTCATAAGAAACATTTGACTGGCTTGTGTTTTCCGATTAGTCTCTGCTCTATAAAGTGGGATTTACTAAATCTCTCCAATTGTCTGCTCATAGAGTGTGACTGCTCTCTGAAACCATTATTGCTTCGATTTGTGAAGCAAAGGTCTGGTGATAGGACTAGTTTCTGTCAGACCTTTACATACAAAATAAGGATTAATTGAGCATTTTTATTCTAATGATTTATAAGCGATAGCTACTGATTCTTCTTAACCCAACCAGACAATAAACAAAGAATATTTTCTTTGGTGATCCATAATTGAATTCCATTTCATTTCCCCATTAACTTTATTAATATTATATTAAATCAAGCAGTTTTTGAAAAGTTTTAACATTTAGTCTTGGGAATGGAGACATTGTTTTCCTGTTACACTGCTTTATGATGGAGGTTTCCTTTTTTCCCAACCTAAAAACAAGCAAATCATAAGATTTTTTTGGCATGTTTTATTGAGAGCTATAAATCAGTACCACTTAGATAGGATGTTTCTCAATTCAGTTTTAGTGCCTTATCATCTTTTCAACATTGGCCCTTGATTTGAAACTGATTAGAAATGGCCCAGTGAGTAAATTTACAGACTTAGAAAGAAAAGTGCAGTCACTCCAAGGATGCATGACTTTAGCCTTTGCCATATCTAGAGTTGTTTCCCCTCTTGTTTCTTAGATTTTGTAGGAGAGGGTGCCAATCTTTACTTATTCCTTAAAAAAATCAAGTATACACATAGTAAGCAGACAGATCTAGAACTAATACTGATCCTGCTGTATCTCTGGCTGTTATTTCAAGAACTTCAAATGCCTTTGGAGTTTAGATAAAAAATTGGGGGGAAAAGTACACATTCTAATATACAAATTAGTTTTAAAACTGTATATCACCAACATATACAGATGTTGAATTCTTCCAGTTCACCACAGATGGTATGTGAAGACTGGAACATAAATGAGTCTGCATGTATAAGTCCAACTACACAACCCCTTTTCTGCCACACAGACTCAGCCTTGCTGCCTGCACCTCGCCCTCCACAAAGGGCCCATTGCTGGTCATCTTTTCCAGGGCTGGGAAGCTGAACTCCTGTGGCTTTTTCTTCCTCCTTCCTCACATCTATTCTAGGCTGTATTTATTTTGTTTCAGTCAAAATGAAATTTTTATTTTACCTTTTTTTTCCCCATCTGAAGAGCTATGCGATTTTTGAATTATTTCTCTTCATAAAAACAAATACCGTAATGGAAGAGACTGCTTTTCATTTGTGAGCACACTTCGGTTGATTGTTTGCCTTCCTGAGGGCCACCTGACCACAGATGAAGAGGATGTCCCTGCCCGATACACATGAGATCAGCTGCAGAGGTGTGACTCTGAGTGGAGTGTATTGAGAGGCCAACTGTGGCCTTGACTACCAGTTCACCTGACCTAAGTGAATTAATCTTAAATAGTCTCAAAATGCTATAAAATTCTTTACTCTTTGAGACTTGCTTCCAACTATAATGCTTTAAATAAATGTATTCTATAGTTTTAGAAATTCTACTTTTGTGTCATAAGAAGAACTCTTTCTGTGCTTCATTTTGAAAAGTTTAATTAAAATGTGCGTCTAAACTAAAAAAGGCAAATATATTATTATTTGCTGATCCCTTTAGTGATATTGATCGAGTGAAATAATAATTTTGTTCATAGCTATGAAATTCTTAAGATATTTATAACCAATTCATGACCTTGGCCCTTGTACTTTTTCAAACTTTTTTTCACATGAAAAAATACTTATATACTACATAAAAAATCAGAAAACTCAAATAAACAAAACCAATCTGATATTTTTTCATTATAAAAATCTTACCAGATAAAGGTCTGTAGACATTATAGAAACATTTATTGTGAATGCTATTTCTTTAAATGACATGGTTCTAGAACTTGTTCTTTATAACTACTTTTGTCTTTATGAGTTGCTTACAGTTTTCCTCATTATCTGAGGGATTCCAGACCTCCATCTTGAATTTGCTTATGTAGTACTGCACACTTGTGCCTGCATAGGTAGCATGTCACATTCCCATCCTGCCACCCTGAAACTTACAGCCTGTCCTGAGTGGGATACCCATTACTCCTGGTTAAGTGGGGTGGTGGGAATGACTGTTCCACTTCTCTTTGTACCTGGTAGATGTTAAAGATAAAATTGTTATGATTTTGGCATCATAATGATGGAAGCTGCTGAAAGACATACCTAACTATGACTTTTCCGTCTTTTATGCTAATAAAATACCACAAAATCAAGCCACCTCCAAAGTGCAAGGTCTATCCCAATATATTAGAATGTACAATATCACTATGGCTTGGTGTGTGTATTTTTCTGAGAAGAAACTGATGGTCCTTTTACCTGGAAGGCATTGATGGAGTGGCAAAGGTGGAGGTAGAGGTGTATGATCATAGATTGTGGCCTTTGCAGAGTCTAGATCTTATATATACCCCATCGCTTCATCCTGCTTACCCTTAAATCTCAGTAAACCCCTAAACAGAATTTGTGGACTTGAGTGAAATTCTGTCCTAGAAATTTACTTCAAGCCATTGTCAGGGTGTAGCTTGTTAGGCAAGATAATGATACAAATTAGGTTGTTAGTCAGGTTTAGACTACTTAAATAAATGTTATAAAGGAATTAGCTTATTTGTACCTGCAATAGATACTATTTACATAAGTATCCTTTGTGCTTACTTTTCAAAGTAAACCTAGTAGCAATCCTACTAATTTAGCATTCTAAGTTACTTTATGTGCTGTTTTTCTTGACGTTATTTTAAAATTTGTCATTTGGTACGGAACAATGAGTCTTTCTTCATGTCATATCATTTAAGAACTTTTTTTCTACTAGGAATATAAAGGTAGTGAAAAACAAAATTTGCCTCAAATAGGAAAAAGTCACCAATTTTTCTGACTTGTTTGACATTTCTCCCCTGCCCCTAAATATAGTAATTAGCCGATTGCAAACTGCATCAATCAAATTGTACTACAATTAAATTGGGTGCTGAATTGGTCTTTATACATTAATCTGTCAATATTCTTTACGGATTGGCAAAACAGCTTTGAAAAGAAGCTGTTTCTTTTTACCTGCACTATGCTTCTCATTATCACAGTTCTCTGAAGCCTCAACCTCAGAAATATGTAGAAGAAAAATATTTCCCCTGATAAATGAAACCTTGCTTTATTCAATTGGTAGAAGTTTAGAATAGAGCAAAATATTTAAAGCTTTACTATAATGGTCTACAAGCAAACTATTTTTTTTCCAGGTGATATTGAATTAAAAACTCCATCCATTTTCTGCCCGTGCAATGCAGTGCAATTCCCTGGAAATTGATTTTTTTTTTAGGACTTACTATGGCTTTTCCCAAGATTTAGCTATATGGAAAATAACACCTTTATTAAATCCACTTAGTGAATAAAGTTGGCAGTTAATTTTTAAGCAGCTGGGCCAGTGTGTAGAAAATTACTGAATGCATCAAGTATAATCTGACTAGTCTTAAAGTGATTTGATAAATAATTATTTAGGGAGTTCTTTAGAACTCTAAAACATTTTGTGTGCATTAAAATAATTCACTATTCAGGATATAAATGAAAGTAATATTTTTGGCATAATAGATTTAGAGAACCTGGGAAGAAGTGCATACTATTGCATATACTGAGTTATGACAATGACATCAGTTTTAAGAATTGCATACTTACATATTTCCCTGTATGAATTACAATATTTGAGTATATATGTATTTTTAAGTGCATTGATTTGGCACTTTCCATTAGCATAATATGGTTTCTACCCATTTGTTGCTGTCTCCTTATTTAGCATTTCCAAAGAAAAGCTAGTGTACTCTAGGAAAATCATTAATGTTATCAAGCTAGTTTGTTTAATGTTAATTGTAGGGTCACCTGGAGAGTTTTCAGGGGCTGATTTATTTACAGATCTTGCATTAGATTACTCACTCTGTGTGTGTGTGTGTGTGTGTGTGTGTTTGTCTCATCTTCCCAAGTTTGACTTTGGTTATGTGTAGTGCTATTTGGCATTGGTTGTATATAGTGCTGGAGACTCTGTTCGTATCGGTAGCGCTGACCTGACCCTTTTGAGCTATGTTATATCATTCCATTTTGACACCTTTTATCAAACTTTAATGAAATGACCCAGGCAAACAAATTGTCATTAAACTTTCCATCACTTTGTCCCTTGGTATCGTCTTTTATAAATTGGACAGCAAATGTTGTATTGATCTTCTCGTTCTTGCAGCTGAACTTGAAATGACCCAGACTGCTTGTTGTTTATGGCCCAGAGTTTCTTTTCCTTGACATTTCCATCCACAGCATGACACCCTTTTTGTTTTTCTTTCTTTCTTGTGGAGATGAATGAACAAGACATACGATACCGAGACACCCTTGGTCACGGCAACGGAGGCACAGTCTACAAGTGAGTAGTCAATTTTGTTTAAACTTTCTATCCACTTTGCCAGATATGGGTATCCAAGTTCTCTGTGGCAAAGATTTTTACATGACCATGAGCTCTTAAGATTTTTATTTCTGCATTTGATGCCAGAATTCTACAAGACATCTATTTTCTCAGGAATTGCTTGGAAAAGTGCATTTATATTGCCTTTTAATATTTCTGAGTCTGCATCTCTCCTGGGTGAACAGTTAATAGTCCACCATTAGCAAGTGTACCTTTAACTGGCCTGAAGTTTAATGCATTTTTTTCCTTCACTCTTTAACAGCATTATTTTTTTTAAGTAGCTAGCACCCTGTGCTAGTCCCCTGACTGTTTACAACTATGCCCAGTGGAAGACAAACCTTATAAATACCATTGCTTTGCCCTGTGTTGACACTCTAAGTTATTAAAAAGCCTTCTTCCTGTTGTATTTCCTTCTCTCCTCACCCTACTCCCCTGAGAGAATTTCTACACATTGATGAATATGTTAAGTTATAAAATTCTCCCAAATTCCAGTTGCAAAGATCTTACCCTAAAGGAGTGTTCATTTTCATATTAAAAAATGCTAACCGTAAAAAATGGTTCTCTCTACAGGGAAGTCTTTCTCATGCAGAAGTGCAAAGTTTAAACTACATAATGTAATATCTGGTACTTAATAGTCTGCAATGGTGTATGAAAAATATTCCACTAGGAATTAAAAAATCCATACTCTGTAAGAAAGCCCTGAGGGAGTAATAAAGCTTTCCTCCAGAGAGCTGTTTTCCATATATACACTAAACCTGCATCATATTATGATTGTGCTTTTACCTTAGATATTATAACATTGATATTAATATATATCTTTAAAGTTGTAAAATAATTTATTTCCTAATTGGTTGCTATGTTCTTAGAATTTTAAATTCTTTTGTTTTTTTTTTTAACGACATGAATACAAATAAAATTGCCCTGTTATTATATTATGCCCATGAAGGGTCATGTTCTAAAATCCTAGATCAACCTCCATACATAGGTACAGCTTTGACATAGGGTTAGATACCTCAGAGTTAAAAAGCTCCATCAAGTCATCTGACCCAGTCACCCATTCAGGGCTTCAGTCCTCTCTATAGGTCAAACAAGCATGTGAATCCTTTCTCTTGAGTATCATAGGTTATTTTTTCCCTGCAGGTGACAGTACTGTGAATAATTGATCTGGAAGTTAAGAGCTTCTTTTATGATAATTCAGAGTTAAATAATAGTATTTCTTACATGATTCTTGAGGCCCTGCCTTTCATATATTTGATGCATAATATGTCTGAGTTTGAGGCTACTGTTACCTTCTAGATCATATTCTCACTCCTTCCCAGGCTACCCCCAGTATAGCAACCTTCATCTTTGTCTTCTCCCCCTTGATCTGATCTGACTTGAATTTTTAGCTTGCTCTGAAGGTCTTCGGTTTCAGCTACCCTTAGCAAGAAAGAAGGAAAATGTACACTCCAATTTGCTTCTCTTGAGTTCCCTGGAGGGAACAGTTTTCAAGACCTCAACCTTTCTTCTTCTTAATGCTTTTATGCTGATAGCTAGAGATAATAAAACAGGAAGATTTCTAGCAACTCTTTAGATTCCTTTTGCTGGTTTCAAGTGGAAACTAAAAGTATTTCGTTTGAATCCTAACCTACTTCATATTTGTTCTACTTTGCTAAGATGTTTAGCTCTCAAAGAACATGTTTGTATTTTTTTTTAATTGAAGATTTACTGTGAACTTACAGCCCTCCCTTATTCCAAAAGGGAGAAAGCAAAAGACCTACCCAGCTATTATCCCAGTACATAGTTTGTATTAGAAATTACATGCAAGATATTAAAATTTTAATCTTTATGTTAATGTGCTTTTGAATTATTTTAAATGTGATACAATATAAGTAACACAAATTTGCTATTGTAACCATTTTTAAGTCTATATTTCATTGGCATAGTACATTCACACTGTTAGGCAACCATCAACACTATCCATACCCAGAGTTCTTTTCATCTTGCAAATCTGAAACCCTGTACCCACTAAACACTAATTATTCATTTGCCAAATTTGTATTTTTTTCAGTGAAGAAGCATGACTAGAGCTACTTTTACTTGGGCCGCAGTGTCCAAGAGAGCATCCTCCTGAATGTTCATAGCACAGGCTCTTTAATCCACTAGAACTCTGTAGTGATATTAACAACTTATTTGTAGAGCTCATTTCGCTACCACTGCTGATGCTCATGTATGTATGTTGTAATATCTAGCATATTTTTGACGGTGCTTACTTTCAGAGGGTGATAGGAAATACCATGATCATTTTAGCACATTGCTATGCTTCTTGTAAAAAGAACACGTTTCATTTGCCTTATTGCTTAGATGATTTTTTTTTTAAAGATTTATTTTATTTGTGCATACTGAACTGGGTTACAGGCCAAAGGTGCAGGGGCGGTGAGAGGATTCACCAGCCACAGAGTGGGGAGCAGAACAGGCAGATTGATGGAGTACACTGCTGAGGGGAGCAGCAGGTGGGTCAGGAGAGGTCTGCTGCACCATGTGGTTCACCTCCGGGGTGGGGATCAAACGTTAGCGTCTTAGTGCTGTGCTTTAACCCGCTGTGCCACCAGGAGGGACACTTAGATGACTCTTAAGAGAAAAAGTGAAGCTACCCAATGCATAACCACTTGTGCTGATCGTTGGCTGTCATTTCCACCTGGCCTTCAGTTTGTGCTGCTCTTATATTGTGCGTTTACTCCAGCACAAAGAAATGGTACAATCAAAAACAAAACAAAACAAAAAACTGGCCTTTCCTGGTGCAGTGGGTTAAAGCACAGCATTGCAAGTGAGCTGCAGCCACTTCAGTGCCAGTTCGATCCGCGCCTGTGGAGGTGATGGCCTGGCAGACTTCACCTGACTGCCTGCTGCTCCCCTCAGCAGTGTACTTCGTCGATCTGCTTATTCTGTTGCCCACTCTGTCTCTGGTGAATCTTCCCACCACCCCTGCACCTCTGGACTATACACCTCTGTATAAATAAATACATAATTCTTTTAAAAACAAACAAAAAGAAAAGGTATAATCAACAAGAAATGAGAATCCACTTTGCCAAGTCTCTGTAAAACTGTTTGATGTGTTATGATTGACTTTGTCCTATATGAAGCTTCCCTTAATGGTGTTGGCTATAAAATTGTATAAAATTTCCCTCCCCCCCCCAACAAAAATGATTATATTACCGGCTATGCTACATAAATAAGATAAAGAAAAATTGGAAAATCCACTCATTGGTAGCAAAAACTGCTTAATGGGCCTACTTAATTTTTTCTTGCAAAGTATAATAAAGCTAATAAATGCATAACTAAGTTTAATATGCCAGTCTTAGTTGTTCTACTAAGTTGTGGTGAGGTGTTGTGAATTTCAAGGGACATATATTATTTAATTGTTGGTCACGTTTTCATCCTTCAAGTCTAGAAATCCTCCATGTCTCCTCCTGAGCTGTTATGGTAGGGATGGATGCATGCAATGCATTTCTTGGATTACTAATTTGGGTGAAATAGATTATAGTGGATATACTTTGGATTAAATTGTAACCCAAGCCTTAGAAGAATAATTTCAGAAGGTGAAATGAATATGAATATATTTTCTGTATTGTCCCATTGCCTGACATGCTACAAAGTTGCTCAAAAAAAAGGTAATTCAGGAAGAATACATGTTCTGTCTCCCTCTGAGAGGGTTAGAATAAATTTCAAAAATTATTTAAGAAAGTGAATGGTAGCATGTGTGGTGGCTAAGTAGAGGGACTTTGAATTTGAATCCTTCTTCTGCTGCTGTGTGACCTTGGGATAGTTATCTGTTTCTTGTCACAGTTTCCCCTTGTATAAGTGATAATAATGATAATACCTGTCTTACATGTTACGACTTTAGTTGGATGTTCATAGAAAGAGCTAGTACTATGAGTGGCACTAAATATTAGCTACTGGTAATGGTAGTTACTAGTTATAGAAAGCCCTGTGCTTTTTATGATTATTTGGCCATGGGGATTTTGTTTTTGAAGAACATCACTAAAACTCATAAAATTATTGTTAACTTTGAGAAATTCTGCATTATAAATATTTATTATGTTACATAGTATATTATTTTCTTCTATAGTTGTTTCATGAATAAAATTAATTATATGTTACCATGCACATGATAAATTTTTTTAATTTCAAAGTGTTTTCTCTTTATCATAGTTTACCTTCAAACTGGCATTGGACAGCTGGTATAATATCAAACCTGTTTTGCCATTGGGAAAGCTCAGATTCACAGTCATGTGCCCACTCACTGGCAAAGCCAGAACCAACATAGCCTCCCATCCTTTCTTGTCCCAGGCAGTGTTGTTTCTCAAGGTCAAGCAGAGTCTGTGTTTCCTTGCCCCAAATATGGAATCAAGGCTTTGATTCTTTGTTCTTCAAAAATAAGATCCGCATGGCCAAATAATCATAAGAAGCACAGGGCTTTTTTTCTGTAACTAGTAACTACCATTACCAGCAGCTAATATTTAGTGCCACGCATACATATTAGATGAAATGTGAATGAGGCAAGTGGAGGTTTGTTCAAGTAGGTTTTAGTTGGACTCTTTATTTGGAGTCTCCCCATAACGAGCTAGTTTTAAAAGCTGCCTGGTTGACACCTAGGAAGATAGGAAATTTCTAAACTAAGGGAATGTATCTGAAATCTTTCTTTTGAATGTTGACACTTTCAATACTTAGCATCCACTAGTTACTGTATTCTTTACTTGGATACTATCTCACATTGAAATGAAAGAAACTAACAGGTCCAGTTATGCTGTACACATTCGATAATGAAGATAAGTCATCCAAGCTACTTCGCTTCTGCACATTGTTTGATAGTCACATAAGCTTTAGGCCCGGAAATTAGGCAGTATTTAGCTCTTAGAACTTCAGTTGTACTAAGTCAGTTAACCAACAAGATCAAAGGATCCTCTCACCACCACCACCCC